CGGCGGCTCGTCACCCCGACTCTGTGACACCGCACATTCGTCCTCACTCACCTTGACCGAATTCGCACTTCTGAAGTGCGTCCATCAACAACGATCACCTGCACCTGTTGATCCACCCGCCCCCCCTCCCTCCTCCACGGCCAGGACCAAAAACACTTCCCACCGCCTTTTACTGCATCGAACGTCGTCACACTTTGCGATCCTGCGCTTTCTCTTCCCGCCAAACTGCCTCCCGCCTGCATAAGCCTCCCCTCCATCCCCTTCTCCGCTTTGGCCCTGTTCGCTGCTCCTAGCCGCCCTTCCGTCCCCATCGGGTGCAGCCACCACTTATTGTAAGTAACACAAACGCAACGCAATCGAAGACGCTCTCGGGCTCGTTTCTCAGAGGACTGTCTGCACTCCACTCTCTTCCCAGCAACTGTGCGACTTTCCCTCCTTTTTTTTTCTCTCCCCCTTTCTTTGTTCAAGCCGTGGTCCTAGGTGTCGTCGTCGTCGTCGTCGATATCTTCCACTCTAAACGTCTTTGCGGCTCTCGACATCACAAAAGCCTGGCAACACCTGTCACAAGGCACAGGGCGAGCGACACGCATCGACTTCTCCATCAGCAGCGAACAGCTTCGTCTGTCACCCATGCTCGACCCCCTGCCTGGTGTCTCACTAGCGCCAACGAATCTGTCCTAGACCCCCTGTCCTCCCCCGGCTGATTTGCCTTGGGTCGCGCCGCCACACACGAGCCAGACGCCCTGACGCCCTGACGCCCTGACAATCCTACCAGGAGAGAAGACGGGGCAAAAAATCTCGGCTGGGCCCAGCTTTGTCTCAACCCAACGCCAGCAGCTCCACAAGCACACCAGAGAGCTCACGCTGTCACGAACCGAACCTGACCCAAACACCAAAACAACACACCCACGACATCGTGTCCCCTTTCCCGCCGGTTGTCGCCCGACGATTGCGCACTTGCGACAACAAATTCATACTATTCTCTCCATCTTCGCTGCAGGCCTTGTCTCATTCTGCCGCTGAAGTCGTCGGCGTCCTCGTCGACCCGGAACCGCGCATGCGGCCTCCCCCATACGTCTCTGTCAGCTGCTGAGCTCTTTCGGTCGCCGTCATGGATCCCCGACAGCCATCCCAGCTGCCCTTCTCGCGCAACGCTGCGTCGCCTTATAATCGATCGCCTTTCCCACCGAATGCCGCGCCGCCACCGTCGAACCCAAACCAGTCTCCCTATCCCCCTGCCACGGCGCATCCGCCGCCGCCGCCCAACCCTCCCTATACCGATCAGCGCAGATCCGCCGAAAACCCTTACTACCCTTCAGGGCCACGGCCGTATCCTCAAGAATCGAATTCGCATTCCCAGCAACAGCAGCAACAGCAGCATCCTCCTCCCACTCATGGGCACTCTCGTCACACCAGTACATCATCGTTGCCACCGGGGCCCCCCTCGAATCGCACAATGCCACCGCCGGGATCGCCACCTCAGCAAGGTGGTCAACAGCCGCAGCAACAACAGCAGCCCCCACATCAAATAGGCTCTTATGGCTTGCCGCCACCGAGGGGTCCGCACATGCCGAGCGGTCCACCGTCATTCCCTGGCGGTCGCGAACTTCCTGCCCTTGGCCACATGCCGAGGACAAATAGCACCGGCAGCTCCATGTCGATATCCTCCATGTTAGGAGGACCACCTTCGGCATCTCGCGACTCTCAACCACCGCCTTCGCAGTATGCTCCCCCCACAACTTCAGCCGCCTCCGGTCCGACCTTTGCCCCGTCCGTCCAAGCATCTCCGCGGATGCCTTCTGCCGCCGCTGACTACCAACCGTTTCGAAGACCATACACTCCCGACCACCCCCGACCGTATGACCCAAGGGGCGATCCTAGAGGCGATCAGAGGGCGGACCCACGAGGTAGCGTAGCGGCATCACCACAGAAAACGCATTCAACAACGCCCGAGATGCAGCGCTACGGAACGCCCCAGTCCTACCACCAGCGAGCGCCCTCGCAGCAAGAAAACAGGGAGTCGAGTCGCATACCTGGTGGCCCTCCCAGACCAAATAGTCCGCCCAAGCCGTATCAGAGTGCGCCTCCACGACAGGGAGACTTGGGCCGAGCGCCGGGCCCAGAAGACGCTTATCAGCGGCGAGAAGAGGTGCCGCGCGGCTCGATGGAATACAACCCAGAGCGGCCCGGGCTCAAACCCTTTGCTTACGATGACCGTTATAGGGCGGAGCGCGAAAGACGTGATGAAATGGAGTTTAGGGAACGAGAGCGACGCGATCGCGCGCACTCGGGAGGAGAAGGAGGGCGAGGCCATCCTGCGCACCAGCCCGATTTCCGACAACACGAGCCGCCACGAGGCCAAGCCCCTCCGTACAATCGTCCGCCTGATGCCCGCGACCATGCCCGCGATCACGCTGCCTGGCCCCGGCCGCCTTATGAGCAATCCAGGGCGCCCTACGATCCTGCCGGATTTTACCCGCGACATCCTCATCCCGAGCACCCCTCCACTGCCGGACCTGGCTATCCGGGCCACGCTGCTCCAGCCTATGGCCAGCCTCCTCCTCCTCCCGACCGCTACCCGCCAAGTTCCCATCCTCCGTCATCCCATCCAATGCCACAGACGGGTCCGCCGAACCAGCCCCAGCCGTTTGACTCTCCAGAGCGCGCGCGCATGAACCTTCTCCACCCGCAAGCTCAGCAGCCTCCGCCAGGTCACAGAAGGCCACTCGAAGAAGGCCCACCGCCGCCATCCGTCGCGTACAACCCGGCGCATGGATCGATGTACGATTCGCCGAGGCGGCCAGGCGAGGAGGGCCACGCGAGCCAGCGCAACCTTCTGACCATTCAAGAGATCAATCGCAAGGGTCGCATCTCTCCTCTTCCGCAGGCTGTGCAGGGGGCTCAACCCCAGATTTCCGCCCCTGGTGGTGAGCCAGGCATCAAGAGCGAATTCGGTCGCATGTTCTCCGGCATAGGGAGTGGAGTCAGCGGCATCGTCTCGAGCCCTGTCGCGCCCGGGGCGCAACTTGCATACACCAACGCAAGCTTGGCGCGACGTGATGAAGTGGACGCTCCTTTGCACGATTCTGGACCTGAAGTGGCAGGCAAAGCGCCTGCCAAGGGCAAGCGAAGGAAGCTGAAAGATGCGCCCGATGTCAAGTTCGACGAGGACAGCAGTGGGCGACTCACACCAGCTAGTCGTACGAAGCGTGCCAAGACGCACCAGCACCATCATCAGTAGGTTTCAATATCCCCTCTGGAGTTTCAGTAGCGATCCTGACAAGCCATAGCCACCACCACCACCATCACCACCACGAGCCCGACCAACACCCAGCGGCGGCACACACTGGCGTCGCACCCTTCAAGAATATCAAGGGCGGCACGCCCGTTCCTTCGCCCACGATCGGCGGCAAGGACTCGTCAGCGGGCCATCATCATCACCACCACGCCGTGCCACGAGCAATGCCACAGGTGCACCTTGGAAAGGAGCCACATGCCAGGACGCCCCTGGCCAGCCCCACGGTCACGTTGCCACCTAGACCCAAGACAATCGTTACGTCGAAAGAGGTGCTCCAATCGGTCGCCAGCCGCCCGCGTCATCATTTGGGAGACGTGGTGTATGAACCAAGGTTGCAACCAGCTCGGCAGCTACAGAGGCAGCCTTCTGACGTGGGATTCTCGTCGACGCCGGTTCCTCTGCCGTGGAAGGTCATCAAGGACAAGGAGAACTGCACCATGACAGTCAAGGTATCTCGCACCCACCTTACCAAGGAAGCGCGCGAGGAGATTACGTATCGCAGAGCACTGTGGGGCACAGATGTGTACACGGACGATACGGACGTCGTGGCGGCGTGCATACACGGAGGCTGGATTCGAGGCGAATGGTCCAACGTGGACGTCAACATGTTGGACCTCGACCGCGGCATCTTGTTCCAGGACAAGGAGCCAATACCGAACAAGCGACGCAAGGATAAGGAGAGAGACGAGCAGGCCCGACAGGAGGCCAACATGGCGACGTATCTCGACAAGGCACCTAACACTGGCCCCGTTCAGGTGCAACCTGATCGCGACATGCAGGTGACGATTCTCATCCTGCCCCGGCTCGAAAAGTACAGCAGCACGGTGCGGTTTGGGGTCAAGTCTCGCGAGTGGGGCGGCACATATGGCGGGCGCAAGTCAGTCCACGACGGCATCAGTTTCATGATCACGGCCATCCGTTGGGTCGACAATGGCGCCGGAGCACAGAACCGACTGCGGGGTAAGGCGCGACGCGAGCGCATGCGCAGGGCCATGGCGGAAGTGAAGGCTGTCAACTGGCCCGAGGGCAATGGCAGCGACCAGACTGCTACCACGGTCACGTTGGTTGATATGACAGGCGCATGGCGAAAGACGGCTGAGGCGAAAGCAGCCAACGGCCAGGCCAACCCTGCTGACAAGGACGGCAAGGCGCCTAGCGACGGCGACAAGGAAAATCAGCCGGCTGAGAGGGCTGGGGAACCAAGTGAGCAGGGTGCGGTTGATGACGCGCCTGCCAGCGTTGCCGAGAAACAAACGGAGAAGTTGGAAGTGGAAGTGAGTGGCGAGAAGAGCTCGAGTGAGTAACATCTTGTTGCCATATTGGTGTTCTACCTCATCTTGGCAATTATATAATATGCCAGACATGTCAGTCTTCCGGCCCGTCTCAAGGCGGGAGACGTAAAGGGGATCAGCAGGGATCGGTTGTAGGATGGAGTACTGTAGGCTAGTTGTAAATGCTGTGAATACCCCCAGTTCATTTACCATGCGACTCATTCGTAACATTTAACATGGTGTTGTACATGCACGCCATCATACATTAAAGTGGCTTTTCCGTTGTTCAGCGCAAACCGCATCGAGCCTTCGAGGAGCATATTTGGCATCGCCATGCATTATGCGCTTTGCCTCCTTCATCTATCATCTTTCCAGTATTGTGGAATCATTGCTCCTCTTTCTGCCCATCCCATTCATTGCACAACCATGCATTAAAAGTCCGTCACCCGCCCATTGTAGCTCCAGTCGCCATCACCGCCCCACCGCAGAGGCTCGTTCTTCGGCCCGCCGACCTCACCCGTCTTGGGATTCGTCTCGCCCTCGAACTCGGGTGGCGCGCCGCGGCGCACGTCCTGGTGGAGGGCCTCGCCGTCGTCGGCGCGCACCTCGACCTTGCCCGGGGCTGCCGCCGTCGTCGTCTCGGTCGCCTCGGCGGGAGAGGGCGGGCTCATGTCGAAACCGGAGGCGACGGCCGCTGTGCGCTGGAGGCGTTCGAACTCGGCTTGCTCGGAGGCGGGGAGGCGGGGGGGCGCTGGGGAGGGTTTGAAGGCCGAGGAGGAGGAGGAGGAGGAGGAGGAGGAGTAGGGTCTTGCGAGGGGGGCGCGGAGGGCGCGGAGGGTTGTCGGCAGGCGGGGGAGGAGGCGTGACATTTTGCTCGTTTGGTGTTCTTGTCTTTTGTTTGCGTTGTGTGTTTTCGAGGGAACGAGTTGGCGCGTTGTTGGTGGTGTTGGTTTGAGTTTGGCTGTGGCAAGGTTGGAGCGGCGTCAGTGATTCATGTTCTTGAGCTGCAGCGCATATGCTCCGGGACTAGGGTGCGTTTTGGGTGGCTTTGGTGGGGCGACTCGGTTTGGGCCGAGGTGGCGGTTTTCTTATGTGCGCCACCTGTGGCGGCATCGTCTGTTGCGACATCATGGTCCTTCGCCTCGGGTCTCAAGGCCTGCTTGAGCCTCTGCGGAGACTGCTGCGATACTCAAGGCTACGAACGAAAAGATGATTCGTGGATGGTATTTATTTTGTTGAAGACGATTCAGGTCCTTGATTCCCTGTACAGTTCTGCCGACGGCTACTAATTACCAGTACCTCCACGAGCAATGGGCTATCCCACCAGGAGACTTGTTGTCAATCATCAATGAAAGCTAGGCCATGTTGCGCTTCCAAACAACCCCTACACGCAGTTTATTTCTGCTTCCTACCACTCATGGACAGCTGTACTCTCTCCCTTGACTGGCACAGCGCTCATCTTCGCCCGCTCGGGCAGCTCACGCAGAATCCACTGAACAAGCTCCTCGTGGCAGAGCGCCTTGCCGGCGAGTCCTTTCGTCGAGCCGAGCTCAGTCGCGTCGCAGCTGACAATGAGTTTCCGCATGTCCGTCGACGACACATTGGGCTTCCGTTGCCCTTCGGTCCACGGCACAAAGCGGATCGTGAGCTCGGGCACACCCTTGACTGTTCCGCACCGCGTCTCCTAGATGGCGCGCACGTCAAGAACGGCGTCGCAAAAGCTCTCCTCCACATAAGCCCTCTGCTCGCGCTCTGTAGACGTGTCAGTGTTGCGGTAAAATGGCATTTCTTTGGGAGGGGACCTCAACCAGCATGAGACACGCTCCCGATAACGAGAGCATCGTTGAAGCGGCGTGCGGCCTTGTCTTCAATCAAGCGTCGGATTTTGCCGAGATTGGGATTCTTCAGTCGATGCCAATCAGTGCACGCTGTGATGCGCACGAGGTTCTTGTGGTGTCCTGCTACGAAATCGGCGGGCCTGCAGGCATCCGAGACGATGGTCTCGGAACAGCTCCAGCGGGCCGGGCTGTGCACTGAGGCGATGGAGATGTGGTCGGGGCCAACGACCGTCATGAAGTTGACGGTGAAACCGCTGGACGTGATCGAAGCTTCCAGGCGGCTGCGGAAGGCGTGCCATTCGGTCTCCGGCTGGTCGTAGACCCAAACGTTGTTTGGGATGAGGGGGCTATTTCGGCAGAGGGAGACGCGCAGAGATTTGGGCAGAATGATGGGGTTCTCTGCAATGCCGAACTTTCGCTTGAGGTTGGTGTCGTCGATGGGAATCATGATGGCGGCGATGATGTTGAGGTCTTCGCCGCCATGGTGTAAGACGTGGGTCAGCAGCTCGGCGTGGCCGTAGTGAGGGGGGTTATATCCGCCTGCTGCCAGGATGATGGTGTTGCGGAACCCACGGCGAAGCAGTGGCTCGACCGTGTGCTCCAGGTCATCGCGGAAAATGGGGGCCTCTTCATCAGCAGGGTCGAGTTCATGGTATGCCTCTTGGATGTAATGGGTCAGGGGCGCAGTTGCAATGGCGACCTCAGCTCGAGCTGTGCCACCAGCCCGGTGATATGCCGCGAATGGGTGGTCTGCAGACATGTTCGTTACATGCCCTGTTTTTAGTGGTGAAGGCTTTGGCGTGCACGTCTGGCGATGGGGGGATTGTCTTTGAGAGTGTAGTTGTGTCCGCACTTGCCTGAGGTTTGTGGCATGGTGCTTTCACCAGAGGGTTAGTTTATTGTTGAGTTTTCCACCCGTGTCTTTCGATTACACGTGCCTCTGAAAGGGGAAAGAACGTTTGGATGCATATTCGACGCGTTCAAGAGAGTCAATAGCACAGGTCACGTTATCAGTCGACGAAGAATAAAATTGTACTACACGTGATACTTGCGGTACAATTCTTCATAATCTGCCTACCCAAGGCACTGGTGGACAAAGTCAACTGACGCCTTGCTTATCACTGAAGAGAACTGACACAAAGAGCTGCAAAATATGTTTGTAATTGATTTTGCAGCCTCTTGGCCAAGGTTAAATTGACCCTAGCAGATCATCCTGATGTGATACTTCACGGCAGAGCTCATGTGCTCACATCAACTAATGCAGTAACACCTTATATGCAAATGTATTCCATCAAAATGCCTGCTTGGTCATTTCGTTGCGAACGCTAATCCGAACCCTCGACTCAAGCCTTGAAGGCCTTGTCAAAGTCGGTCATGGTAAACCTGTACCGAACCTTGTTCTCCTGAACCCTCTCAACAGCCTCCTTGAGCCCCTTCTCGCCCAGAGGAAGCTTCTCCACCATGGGCGTAATGTTCTTGTCGCCAGCCAGCTTCAACATGGCCTGCATCTCCTGCCTGTTGCCGATATGGCTGCCTGTCAGCTTGGCAGCATTGCTTGCAAAAGCGCTGGGCGGCATCTGCGGCAACGACTTATCACCCAGGCCGACCATGTGGAACTCGCCGCCAATATTGAGGATGCTCAGATACGTCGGCAGATCAAACTTGTCGGCAGCATCAGTGCAGTTGAGGACAAAGTCAAACTGGAAAGCCCGTTTGTCGGCCCAGCCGTCCTCGTTTGTATCGATGACGCCCGCGGCCCCCAGTGCTTTGGCATCCTTCTCCTTGCTGGGCGAATGCGTCAGCGCGTACACTTCCGCACCCAACGCCTTAGCCCACTGCAGCCCCAGGTGGCCGAGGCCGCCAATGCCGATGACGGCGACTTTGCTGCCGGACTTGATACCGGCGCGTACGAGTGGGGAGTACGTCGTCAACCCGGCGCATAGCAGCGGTGCTGCGTCGGCCGAGTCGAGGGCGTCGGGGATGCGGAAGACAAAGTACCAGTGTGCGCGGATGTGCGAGGCGAACCCGCCATGCGCGTCGCTGCCGTCCTCGTACTTTGAGTTGTATGTGTCGACCATGTGCGGGCAGTAGTTCTCGTTCTGGGACTTGCACTGCGGGCACTTGAGGCACGACCAGATCTGGGCGCCGACGCCGACGCGGTCGCCTTCCTTGACGTCCTGCACGAAACTTTGCCGACGCGGACGCCCTTGCATACGACCTCGTGGCCGACGCAGAGGGAC